GGATGCTTAAACATAATAAGAAAAACACACACAAGCGGTATGCTAAAGTATAAAAACTTACACATTTACTGACATCCCCGCGAACAGCTACAAAACAAAGTTAGTAAAACATGCATGATCTTATATACAAAGAATCCTAATGCAATTCACTCATGAGATGTAACTAAAGATTTGGCTTCTAAGATATGACATGTGAATCATCTAAAAAACATGAGGTAGCGCACATAATCACATAGAAATTGATTAAATCCACAAATGCAAACTTAGCTGAATCAAGATGCATGAAACATGGATGCAAAGCATGGATATAATGAAAAACAAAATATGATGTATATTAAAAAATAAAGAAAGCAAGTAAAAGATCATGAATAAATATTACAACATAATATAAAAAATCCTCATGAATACTCAAAATTAAATAAACATGACAAAATAGCAGTTTCAAGCACCTCAAAGATCATCGGAGGTGGATCTTCTCAACGTTGGAAGGCTGCTCGGTTTTGCCTAGAGGTTGTAGGAACAGTCATGAAGGTTGCGGGTGCTATGGTGTACTTTTAGGTGACTACCCGGCCAACTAATGGGCTGGGTAGCTCGATAAGCTCGGCCAAACTTTATTTTCTTAGATTTCAACAATAAAAACATAACTAAAAACAATATCTATGGGGGTCTCAACTCATTACTTTCAGTTAGATTACACAATATATAATATAACAAGAAATCAAAGCAAAAAAGCAAAATAAGTAAGAAAGACAATGGGTTCAATATGACGTCTGATTGAACCCAACTCAATGTTATTATCTTGTGCCTCTTTTAGTCCAATTTTATTAGCCCTTTTTATTACCTTTCCATTCTTTAATCATTTTGTGCAAAAGTGATAATTACATCCACTAATGATGAGAAGCGTCAAACAAGAGAGAGAGAGAGAGAGAGAGAGAGAGAGAGATGTATTGCATACTGATAGCTTCCAATTTTCTTGTAATCAATGAAATACACTGCAGAGCCACCAACCCAGATGGGACGGTTGCTTCTCATGATGCCCAGTGATATTACTAGTGAAATCAAGGTCACAATTCTAGACAATACAGTGATTTTTGGACACTTTGAGGCCTTAGCTTGAGGCACATCAGATTGTGGCCGCATTTTCCCAAAACTATACTTTGATTGGGAAATATATTTTGCTATCCTGCTTATATAGGAAATATATTTTTGTCCTTTAATTTAACCAATCCCAATTTAAACTTTAGTTATTTGGAAGATACCTTTCAAAGTTATTAATACTTGATTGAGACTTACTGAACTTTTTATATACAATTTGAGAATTTTACAAATGTTGAGTATTAGACAAGATTTAACTTTAATTTCAAAGAAATAGTCAAAGGCTTCTTTGTGTTGAGTAGTATGAATACAGATAAGTATTAGGCCCGGTTTGTTTTGAAGTATAGAGGGTGGGATGGGGTTAGGATAGATGTGGAACCCATTTAATGTTCTATTTGTTTGTAAATTTGGGGAAGGAATTCATAAGCCGAGGGGCTTTAGATGGGCCTTGCATATTGGGATTCATAGTCTGCCTAACACTTGGTATTGAAATTAGTCCATTGGCATTAGGGGAGCGATTTACTTGTTTACCCATCGTTGCCCTAGCTCATCCTTGGAAGCAGAAGCAGCAGCAGCAGCAGCAACAGGGAGGAGAAGCAAAGAGAAGCTCTCCTTTAGATTTTCAATCTGAAAAGATGCTCAAATTCTTATTTTTGATTGCAAGATTTTATTAATAACATATCCCACACCAACTCTTCTCTGTTTAGATTTGTTCTTCATCATTATTTCTTCTTATTATTATTCTTCTTCTTCTATGGGTGGGATATGTTGTGAAAACAAAAATAAATAAATAAATGAAAGAGATGAAGTAGAAATGATGCTCTGTTTTGGCCATTTTCTGTTATTATGGAATGGAAGAGAGATCATTTGTGTTTTGTTTTGTTTTCTTTTTCCCTCTTTGTATTTAATGATTATTTGATTATGTTTTGATTTTGTTCTTGATAATTGATCAATATATTATGTTTTATCCATATCAATTTAATCTATCTCTTAAGAGGCTCAAATGATGTTAAACAGATATATTTCAAGACCAAAACAAGCCCAAAATAGTAGCAAAATAACTCCAGAACTACCAGAAAAAAGTTGGCAGGCTGTAGAGGCTTTTGGCCGGCAGTACAGGTCCTTTGACCGGCCAGTAGATATATTGGCCAGCCGTACAGGTCTTTTGGCCGGCCGACAGATATATTGGCTGGCTGGAAAAAGTGGCCAACGAGGTTCCACCAGAATCGTCCGAGGTCCCAGTTCCTGCAGTGGCTAACAGTGAAGAATCTTGAGAAAATTGTCTTTTGTACTTTTTCCTTCTTTTTCTGTACTTTGCACTTTTGTACTCTTTGAATTTTTTGGACAATGCAAAACTTCTTCTTATGGCCGACGTGGTTTTTTCAATATATAATTGCAACTGTTCTTTTCTATGGATGTTTTAATCTTGTGATGTTCTTTTGACTGCTTTCTGCATAGTCTTGTATTTTAGAAGTTTTTTGCATGCTTCTTCATGTTACTTCCTTTGTGCAATCTTCTCGGGGTTACATACCTCGGGTATAACTAAAAAACTTTTACTTCGGGAAGATACTAACCTGCAAACTTTTCATAAATTTCAACAAGTATAAAACATATATTTCTGAATGTAAACTTTGCAAGTTTCTTCTTAACTAAGTATCAAACAGTGATCTCGATCTATCCCACTTGTAAATTGCTACAAATTTCAACAAGTAGTAAACAATATACTTAGCCTTTATTTTAACCTGTAAATTTCTGTATACCTCAGCGGGTGATCATATGTCGGCTTAACATAAACTTGTAAATTGCTACAAATTTCAACAAGTGTTAAGTATTTTCCTTAGGTTTAAGCAACCCACATATTGCTATGAGAACTTAAGCAACAATCTCGGCTTAACTTCAACTTGTAAATTGCTACAAATTTCAACAAGTGAAGATAAGGAATCAGCTTAATTCCAACTTGTAAATTGCTCAAGTGAAGATAAGGAATCAGCTTAATTCCAGCTTGTAAATTGCTACAAATTTCAACAAGTGAATTAAGGAACAATCTCGGCTTAACTTCAACTTGTAAATTGCTACAAATTTCAACAAGTGAAGAGAACTAGTAATCTCGGCTTAACTTCAACTTGTAAATTGCTACAAACTTCAACAAGTGAAGATAAGGAATCAGCTTAATTCCAACTTGTAAATTGCTACAAATTTCAACAAGTGAAGAGAAACAGTAATCTCGGCTTAACTTCAACTTGTAAATTGCTACAAACTTCAACAAGTGAAGATAAGGAATCAGCTTGCCAAACAATGATGTATATCTAATGATAGAAAAATTTCAAATTACAAGTATTCCAAGGTCTGGGCAATGCTTTGCCCTCATTGTCCTCAAACCGATAAGCTCCATTGCCTAATAGGGCCAAGCTTGCCTTCCCTGGGATCCTTCTTGTTCCCGACGACTTTTCTTAGGACTAGGTCGCCAACTTGAAAATCTCTTGGATTAACCTTCTTATTGTAAGCTCTGGCAAGCTGTTGCTGGTATACTGCGAGCTGAATTGCAGCTTTCTGTCTTCATTCTTCCAACAAATCCAGGCCTCGGGCTAAGAGTATGTCATTGGTGCCATTCTCTACTCCCTGGGTTCTGATTCCTGGGATGCCGATCTCCAATGGGATGACTGCTTTTGTGCCATAGGCCATGGCAAAGGGGGATTCTCCTGTTGATCTTCTCGGCGTAGTCCGATATGCCCAAAGTACGTTGGGTAATTCGTCTACCCACTTTCCTTTTGCTGCCTGGAGCCTCTTCTTTATTCCATCCAGGATTACCTTGTTGGATGCCTCTGCTTGCCCATTGCTTTGAGGAAAACTTGGTGTTGAGAAATAATTCTTGATCTTGAATTTTGCACAAAAGTTTTTGACAAGTTTGTTGTCGAACTGTGTTCCGTTGTCGGCAACTATTGCTCTTGGAATCCCAAATCTTGTGATAATGTTCTTCCATATAAAATTCTTGACGTCCACATCTCGGATTTTGGCGAGAGGTTCTGCCTCTATACATTTTGTAAAGTAGTCTATTGCTACCAGCAAGTATTTTCTCTGCCCAGTTGCCTGTGGAAGTTGTCCAACCAGATCCATGCCCCATTGGGCAAACGGCCAAGGGCTGGATACTGGGTTTAGGTCGGCAGCTGGTTGATGTATCAAAGGTGCAAACCTTTGACATTGTTCACACTTCTTTACATAGGCTTCGACGTCCTTTTGCATGTAGGGCCACCAATACCCCTGGGTAATGGCCCTGTGGGCTAACGATCTGCCCCCTGCATGGCTTCCCCAAATTCCTTCATGAATCTCGTAAAGGAAATCTTCAACCTGCAAAGGATGTACGCACCTTAAAAGTGGTCCAGTGAAGGACCTCCTGTAGAGATGGCCTTCCGCTGTTAGACTGAATCTGGCCGACTTCAGCCTTATTTTATGCGCTTCTTTATGGTCTTCTGGCAGCTTTCCCTCTTTTAGGAATGCAATGATTGCATCCATCTAGCTTGGTCCAAAGCCCACGCACATTGCTTCTTGTTCGGTGCTCTGTTTATCTATGCTCGGGGCCGACATGTAGTCGATCATAATTGTCCTTGTTTTTCCTGTTTGAATTGAGTTGGTCAGGTTGGCTAACGCGTCGGCGTGGGTGTTGCCATCTCGGCTAACTTGGAGTAATCTGCAGTTCTGGAATAGGGCTGCCAGTCGGATGACTTCCTTTGCATATGCCGACATTCTTTCGTCTCTGGCTGCAAATTCTCCTGTTGACTGGTTAACAATCAGTTGTGAATCACAAAAAACAATTACCTCGTCTGCCTCTGCTGCTGCTGCTAGCTTTAGCCCTGCAATTAATGCTTCATATTCTGCTTCATTATTGGAGGCTTTGAACCCCAGACGGATGGACTGTTCTACAATTTCTCTGGAGATATCAGCAGTACTCCTGCTCCTGCTCCCTGGCGGTTTGAACTTCCATCGACGAATAGTCTGAATGAATCGCCGATGTAGATGCTGCATGGTCTGAGCTTTTCTTTCTCTTGCTTTTTTGTCTTTGACTGGGATTCTTTTTGCTTGTCGGGGTAATGTTCCTCTTGGCTCGATGGAGCCCGAGGTGTGATGGCTTCAGGTGTGAGTTCTGCGACGAAGTCGGCCAAAACTTGGCCCTTTATTGCTGTTCTTGGCCTGAATTCTAGGTCAAACTGGCCGAGTGTTACTGCCCATTTTGCTATTCTTCCTGTTAAGTCTCCTTGATGTAATAAGGACTTCAGCGGGTGCTCTGTTAGGACCACAATTTTGTGTGCCTGAAAGTAATGGCTCAATTTCTTTGAAGCCATTACCAAGGCTAGCATTAATTTTTCCAGTGGTAGGTATCTTGTTTCTGCGTCAGCCAAAGTCTTACTTACATAATAGACAGATTCTGCTCCCCTTTTTCCTCACGGATTAGCACTGCACTGACCGCGTGTTCAGAGACTGCTAAGTACAAAAACAATTCCTCCCCTGGGATTGGGTTAGAAAGGACCGGGGTTGTGGTCAAGTACTTTTTTAGGTCGGCTAAGGCAGCTTCACATTCTTCCATCCACAGGAAGTCTGTGGCTTTTTTCACCAGGTTAAAGAAGGGTCTGCACTTGTCTGAGCTTCTACTGATGAATCGGTTCAGGGCTGCGGCCCTTCCAGTGAGCACTTGAACTTGCTTTGCCGATGTCGGACTCT